TGTGTGTGTGTGTGTATATATATATAAAATATAAAAATTGTAAAGGCAAGCTTTCTGTTTTTAGTGAGGTGAAGAGCCTACCAATTGGTACCTTTGTCACCTCATGTGGCATCTAAGACACATGAATCATAGACATTGCTTCAGACCCACATTTTGGAATTTCTGCTTGAATCCAAAGTTTTATACCAACTTTGCCTGATGAAGAGTTCTGTAGAACTTGAAAGCTCACCTAATTTGTTGACTTTTACTGAGCCAATAAAGGTATTGCCTAATATAAAACTTTGATTTATGAACAGGGGGGCCCTGGCATTACCTGTCTTCCTATGCTCCACTGGGGGGGGGGTCTTGTCATCCAAGATGAAAGGACTGCCCCTCCATCCCACTTGAACCACCAGTTGCTTTTGAATTCACATGTAAAAAGGGGATTTGTTCAATGTATGTTTTGTCTCACTGTTTGACTGTGTTCCCTTGTCTTTTGAATGTGTTATGAGAGAACCAGCACAATGTAATGGTCAGAGTGCTGGAGACCTGGGTTCAAATCAACACAGGACCATGAAGTGAGTGCACTTGGTGACCTTGATCCAGTTGCAACCCCATCTACTTCACAGTGTGGTTGTGAGGATAAAGTGGGGGTGGAGGAGAGCCACATAGGCCATCTTTGGGAGGAAGAGCAGGATAAAAACAAACAGATCGGTAATAATAGGAGACAAAATTTGCCAGCAGACTTGAATGTAGGTCTTTTCTACCCATTAACTTCAACTGGGCTCTGTGACTTGGGAAAAATTGGTAGATGTATCTGCTCCAACTGTGCATGATCAGTAGCAACTTGTTGATTATGTTTTGACTTGTTTCCTTGAAACGCACAACATAGTAGACTTGTGCCATAGTAATGCCCTTGGGTATGCCTTTGCTAAGTAAGCGAAGTGTTTATGAAGGAATCTGGAGACACAAATTTACTATTCCCAAACCACAGTGTTGTAGGAGTCTAATGATGTAGGATATATCTCCATGTGATCACACCCCGAGAACCAGAGTGGAAAACACTTGTTGTTTAGTTGTTAATTTGCGTCCGGCTCTTCGTGACCCCATGGACCAGAGCACGCCAGGCCCTCCTGTATTCCACTGCCTCCTGGAGTTGGGTCAAATTCATGTTGGTAGCTTCAATGACACTGTTTAACCATCTCGTCGCCTGTCGTCCCCTTTCTCCTCTTGCCTTCACACTTCCCCAACAACAGGGTCTTTTCTAGGGAGTCTTCTCTTCTCATGAGATGGCCAAAGTACCCGAGCCTCAGCTTCAGGATCTGTCCCTCCAGTGAGCACTCAGGGTTGATTTCCTTCAGAACAGACAGGTTTGTTCTCTTTGCAGTCCAGGGGACTCTCAAGGGCCTCCTCCAGCACCACAATTCAAAAGCATCAATTCTTCGGCGGTCAGCCTTCTTTATGGTCCAGCTCTATACATCGCTACTGGAAAAACCACAGCTTCGACTATGCGGACCTTTGTCAGCAAGGTGATATCTCTTGCTTTTTAAGATGCTGTCTAGGTTTGTTATCACTTTCTTCCTAAGAAGCAGGAGTCTTTTAATTTCGTGGCTGCTGGCACCATCTGCAGTGATCATGGAGCCCAAGAAAGTAAAATCTGTCACTTCCTCCATATCTTCCCCTTCTATTTGCCAGGAGGTGACGGGACCAGTGGTCATGATCTTAGTTTTTTTGATGTTGAGCTTCAGACATTTTTTGCGCTCTCCTCTTTCACCCTCATTAAGAGGTTCTTTAATTCCTCGCACTCCCATTTCTTTAAGGACTTGCCATAGTTTGCTGTGGTCCACACAGTCAAAGGCTTTTGCACAGTCAATGAAGCAGAAGCAGATGTTTTTTTGAACTCTCTGGCTTTCTCCATAATCCAATGCATGTTAGCAATTCGGTCTCTAGTTCTTCTGCCCCTCGAAATCCAGCTTGTACTTCTGGGAGTTCTCGGTCCTCATACTGCTGAAGCCTACCTGGTTTAGATTATATCTGACTAGCCCAGTGATTTTTCCTAATTTCTTTAGTTTAAGCTTGAGTTTTGCTATAAGAAGCTCATGATCAGAGCCACAATCAGCTCCAGGTCTTGTTTTTGCTAGTTGTATAGAGCTTCTCCATCTTTGGCTGCAGAGAATATAATCAATCTGATTTCAGTATTGCCCATCTGGTGATGTCCATGTGTAGAGTCGCCTCTTGTGTTGTTGGAAAAGAGTGTTTGTGATGACCAGGTTGTTCTCTTGACAAATCTCTACTAGCCTTTGACCTGCTTCGTTTTGAACTCCAAGGCCAAACTTTCCTGTTGTTCCTTTTATCTCTTGACTCCCTACTTTAGCATTCCAATCCCCTAGAATGAAAAGAACATCTTTCTTTGGTGTCAAATCTAGAAGGTGTTGTAAGTCTTCATAGAATTGGTCAATTTCAGCCTCTTCAGCATCGGTGGTTGGTGCATAAACTTGGATTACTGTGATGTTGAAAGGTCTGCCTTGGATTCGTATTGAAATCATTCTGTCATTTTTGAGATTGTATCCCGGTACAGCTTTTCCCACTCTTTTGTTGATGATGAGGGCTACTCCATTTCTTCTAAGGGATTCTTGCCCACAATAGTAGGTATGGTAATCGTCTGAAGTGAATTCACCCATTCCTGTCCATTTTAGTTCACTGATGCCCTGGATGTCAATGTTTATTCTTGCCATCTCATGTTTGACCACATCCAGTTTCCCGAGGTTCATAGATCTTACATTCCAGGTTCCTATGCAGTATTTTTCTTTGCAGCATCGGACTTTCCTTTCACTTCCAGGCA